ATGAAGTTAGCCATTCAACATTCCGAAAAGAAATGGTTAAATGACTACTTACCTCTTGACTTTTTCTCAGTCGGAGGTCGAACAGGAAAATATTGCGCGATCGTTCTTTTGCCAGTAGCCATTGCAATTCTGGGAGATTTCAAGATGGGTTTTCATGTAGACCGTCAATCAATTTTCCTTTTGCATTGAATCATGGAGTGATACATGAGCAGTGTCAAGGAAGGAATAAGACAAGGAGATTTTCTTTTTTTTAAATGAATTTCAGTTTTATTTTTGGGAAGGCACATGCAGAAATCAAAGAAAAGCAACTTGCATTCAAGTTTTATCCACAAAAGCCGCATTGAAAGCCCAGAGTTGAACAGCCAGGCAAAGTTGTGCTCACAGGTGGTCAATCTGCCCGGTGCCCAGCCCTTAATGAATCCACTGACAATGTATAATAAAACAGTTATGAGATTCGGTTTTTAGTGATATCCAAAATAATCAAGGTCTCGGTTAGTGTTATCAGCCTTCAGCTTCGGCTGATAACACTTACCTCAACCTTGATTATTCTAGATATCATAAAAACCTCATCCAATAATAACTATTGTTTATAATGACTAAATTATACATATAAACTTACCATATTTGTAGAGCATGGTATAATTCCTGAATGATATACTAATAATATACAGATTTAGGCCAGCTTAAAAGCGTAGCTCCTGTTCCGGGTTGTTCAGAGCCCCACAAGCTAACCCAGGAAAAGGAAGAATTTTGATTTGAGTTTTCAACTTTGCAGTGAGGTTTTCTGTATATTGTTTGGCCTCCTGTTTTGAGTTTTAATAATCACCATATACACAAACCAAAGCAGCAAAAAACATTTGTGGAGAAGAAAAAGTTATAATTTGGTCAACTTTTAATCCTGGGTTAGCGTTAACTGCCTTCCGAACAATCCTGCCCTGTTTTCAACAAGTTAACCTCACATGAGCCCGCAATCCAATCGAAAATCAGCACTTGGTCAGCGGTCAACTTCAAAAACAAGTGTGACCTCGATGAGCTGTAAACTTGAGCCCGCGATATGGTCCCATAATACTGGTCAGCGAATACCTTGTTTTGACAGATGTCATTTGATCATAACATGGATGTCCAATATCAAAGAAGTTTACGGTAAAGCAAGGGTGCATATCTCTGTCAACCTATTATTTGGAGTATGGCCGCCATGTTGTGCGACTCCGTCGCCGTCACCGTCGTGCGTACGCGCCCACGATCAATACCGCTAGCCAGGATAACCATGAGAAAATCGACCCATGGGTTTCCTTTTCTTTCCTATATGAGTATGGGCCTCCGCTTAGCGGCCCTTCGGGCTGCCGGAGCTCCGCTATTATGGCTAACAAGCCAATGAAAACTCAAATTGTATTATGCAATGATCCAGTTTTAAATAAAACTGATTTTATATATGGCTTAACAAATTTAAATAAGACCTACATCATATTAATATATGGTCAACAATGTGAATTAAAACAATAGCAAAGAAATCTTTGTCTAAATCTCCAAATATAATAAGCTTACTTTTGGAACAATGTGATTATGATTTCTAAGTGCAGTAAACAAATGCAAATCAGCTCTACTATGGTAATTTATTTCACTTTTGAATATCTAATTTGGACAAAGAGAAAAGGTGACAGTTCATATTCAAACTGAGGCGAAGAAGCATACTATACTCAAAAGCGTAAAAATATATTCCGCAAATCGACGGCTTTACAGTCAACTGATCGTTGAATGACCTCTTCCATGACTTACAAGTAAACAAGTAATTCCACTATTTCCATCCAAATGTAAAGCGATGAAATATATTACCCTCTTGTTTCCAAAAGTCTTGAGAAGGGGTCTGTAATTTATATTGTTTTCAAACTCAAGCGGCACTGTCTTTGAATTTGTGGTCACCGATGGAGACATTTTCATTTTCTGACGGTTCAAAAAAATGAGTATTGGCTTTTAAAAGTACAGTGGCTCCTGTGGAACCCTCACTGGACACATGCCAAGTCTGTCCTAGCATTCACAAGGAACTTTACTCCCGTTGTCTCAATTTGTCGACATGCATGAACACGTGAAAGTGAAACATCAATTCCAATGGGTTTCGTTATTTGTACTTGATCCTCCATAGTAAAAAAGATGGCGACTGGTACATTAACCCACAGTTCTTAGCGCACGACAACTTTAAAAACGTTTATAAAAACGTACAGAAACGTTATAAAATCTTCAAACCCAGGCTACTCAATGTCCTTTGTACAGGGACAAATCTCATAAACATTTGGCTTTCTTAGTGCCTTATAGGCTGTGTTAGGTTCGCAAGGCATTGTGGTAAAATGTACAGCCGCCATATTTTTTCCTACGGTGGATTACGAAGCTAGATTTTCAACACGGATTAGAAATGATAAGATGCAGAACTCAAGACCAAGCTCAAAATGAAAACTAAAAGCAGGGGAAACTAGAGACCACACTTACAACCGAAATGGCTGACTCAGACTAGTGCGCCAAACAACACAAGACCACACGACAGGCGCTGACTCTCGCAGACAAATAAATAAAACATAGGCACGCAAGACGTGCAAGAGTTATTTGTTTTGTGAAGTCTCGGAGATAAGAGCATTCATGGAACTGTTAACAATAAAGATTTGGTTAATTTGACAAGTTTTTTGGTTGCGATGTACAGCAAGAAAGAAACTGGAAATTTATGATGTACATACGATGTTACATCGGTAATGGTAAGATAGCTAAATAGTAAGCCATAAAATGTTT